CCTGCATGGATTTATGAGCCATTTGTATCATTACATTTTTCCTAAGAAAAATATTTATGATTATCCAACCAGTAATTAATTTGAGTGAGGTGCTTTCATGGCTTACAAGTTGTTTGTATTGAAAATTTTGAACTTCTCTATTGACTTAAATTCATTAACCTGCATGCAAAAGGAAATATCTACATCAGCCACAAACATCCCGAGCAAGCAGTAGACGATAACTATAACCTCGGAATTAAATAACCACCACCAGAGACGTGCTTTCATCTCAAAAGAATGAAAGGTCAGCCAATAAGCTTGCGTATGTACATAAAGCCACTCCATCTTGGAAATTCTTGCAACTAATTTTCTCCAACTCACCATTGCCCTTTATGCATCCTACTTTAATCCACTATATTAGTTGTATAATTGATCCTGATGATTCTTTCCTTGTGAATTAAATGTTTTAAGTTTTCGCATGCTAAAATATGCAACATGCCCCTTTTCCTGCCTTCTCCTCATACTTAATTTTTTTTTTTTTTTTTCAATTAAAGCTTGTGATAAAAGAAATGAACTTGAATAATATGTTATGAAAAAATATATATATTGTGTATGTTATTTATCAGTCTCCTTTGCCAAGTTTGGGCAATATTGGACTTGCATTTGCAATGAATATCATTTCTCTTGATAAAAACCCCATTCAGAGTAGGAAAATAATAGCCATAAATAGATATCAGGGTAACATTAAAACAACAGAAGAGAGAGAGCTAGACTCACGTGTTCATCGGAAACCTGTGCTATTTCGAGCAGCTGCATCACAAACAAGAAACAGTTACTGCAACTGAATGTGAACATGTATATATAGTTTAAGAGCTGCAAATAAATATGACAGTTCCCTAATTTCATTTATGAAAAGGTACAAGTTGGACAGGAAAAATATAATCCATTTGAGCTATATTTACAATGGGTCTGTAGTTCATCATCACTCACGGAAAAGAAGATCTCTATCAACCAAAATCACCAAATCTATACAAAAAATGGATTTTCTGAGTGCTTGTACTTCATAAAGGCTGTCATAATTAATCTGAGAAAAAACTATCGTGACTAAACAATTAACAATCTTCGAAGTATGTACAGAGGCAATAAACCGTAATGTGAGATATGGTTATACATACAACCGATGAATGAGCTTCTAACTTATTGAACCTGGCATCATGGAATCCTGTGATCACTTATAACACGCATAGCACTGAAATGTGCTGGACATACAAGTGTACAACTTATATATCCTGTGTAGGAAGTCATACTTATACACAGACCTCTAAAAAAATTAAGTAGAAAATGATAATGCAAGGAATATTATTACCAAACCGTGTTATATTGGTATGGTGTTTTAAAGTTTAGCTACAGAATGTTCTGCTCGCCAGCTTGCTTGCCCTTAATACTCCACCGTACCTCTTAATTGTAATTAAAATGCTCAACAGAACAATGACACAGTTTTTGATGGAAAGGCATTGAGAGGTGAGAGTAGACGATCTTTAAGGTTTCAAAAGGATTAATCACATGTTGTGTGGGCAAAGATTTCAATAAAATGCAAAATATGCTGGTAAACTGAAAAATACACCAACGCGCTTAAACTAACCAAATTTGATAATAATTTCATCACGGGTTAAGGACATGTGCCTTTACCAATCAAGCCTATGAAAACGAACCAAACAAAAATAATAACAATATCTCCTTAGAAAAACTAGACAAGTAAATATTATTAAGATTGAGCGATTTTCAAAAACTACTGAGACACTCCATCCTTTTCAAAAATTCAGAAATCTCCCACTTAGCATAAATTTTCCATTTTGTCCTTCTATCTTATCTTATACTTATTTATACATATGATTATATTTGCTTTCTTACCTTTTTATTAATTTTAATTTTGCAAAAAAAAAAAAAAATTGCTTTAATTATTTATCAATCATATTCGGAAAAAAAAAATCATATTTAGTAATTTTATTAATTTTATAACAATGTTTATAATGGTATTAAAATTTAAAACTAGCATTATTAATTATTTTAAAACATTTATAAATGTTGATTTCTTAATTTTAATTTAGACAAAAATAATTTTTTAAAATTTTAATTTTAATTTTTTTTTCTTTTTGTATAAAGTTATTTAGCCCCCGTTTGGCACCCATTAATTTCTCATTCTCATTCTCATTCCCATTCTCATTCTCATTCTTCATTTCAACCACACATTCTCCAAATAAAATAATATTACACACAAATCAAAAACTTTTCATCACTTTTCCTATTCCCATTCTCATTCTCATTCTTCATTTCAACCACACATTCTTCAAATAAAATAATATTACACACAAATCAAAAACTTTTCATCACTTTTCCACCACACATTCTCACATCAATCACTATTCCAAAATTTCTATTCTTCTCAAAATTAGATTCAAACACACCCTTAATCTCAAACATATTTTTGTGATATTGAATTCTGATTTAATGAACAAACTAAAATTGATTAAATATTTCTAATGAAAAGATGAATGAAAAGAACATAAGATTTAAAAACATTTACTTACTTTTTGTTAATTATTTATCAATTGTATTTGGAAAAACAAATAAATCATATTTACTAATTTTATAACAATATTTATAATGGCAATAGAATTTTAAACTAGCTTCATTAATTATTCTGAAACATTTATTTATGTTGAATTGCAAATTATTTATCAATCGTATTTGAATTTAAAAAAATCTTATATAATAATTTTATAACAATATTAAAATAGAGTTGAGGGGTAAAATGGAAAATGTATATTTAGTAATTGTTTTGCCCCCATTTTGGAGAATTTATAAATTTTGGAACAGTGATTGATGGGAGAATGTGTGATTGAAAAATAATGAAAAGTTCTAAATTTGTGTGTAATATTATTTCATTTGAAAAATGTGTGGTTAAAATTAAGAAATGAAAAAAAATTAAAAATTTTAATGGGGGCCAAACAAGGGCTTACTTTAAGAGGATAGGGACAATGTTACAAAGAGTTCCTCAAGGAGGTTTCAGAATTTTTTTAGGAAGGATTGTCTCTGTAGTTGTCATAAACCTCAAGGGAAGTTTATGTAATTTGCTATATTAAGACAAGCAAATATAAGTAACAGTCATATTCTTCCAAAATAATAATTTATATTTTACTTTGGCAAGATCTTCTTCTGTATATTAGGCCCAATTTCAGTTGAGAGTCATATAGAGGACCAAACATATTTCTCGCAACTAACACCTCACATGGCATTTAGAAAGATGTTTCTATAAAATCTAACATCTTGAAAAGAAACTGTGATTGATCAATGAATAACCATCTTATGCTCGCCAACAAGCAACAAGTATTGATTGTAAATTGAGGTAGGGGAGGAACTTGCTGCTAAAAAGTACCTGAACTTTTCCTTCATAAGAAATTAATGTACCACCTTTCACATCAGCCAGAGTTTTTGGTGTAACCTGCAACACACACAGTTATAAATCTCTAGAAACAATTATCACAACAAAATGATCCAAAGGGTACAACAGCCTCTTTTCAGTACCTCCATGCAGTATTCATTCTTGTTGTTGATCAAATGATTTAAAATTTCTGAAGCAACGAATTAAGGAAATATTTGGACAAACACTAGAAAAATCAGCACGGATCACCATTGTTAGTAGTGTTTTTATGGACAACTAATTAGTGAATCCATAAAGATATAAGAATAAAACATTACTTACCACCACTGTTAGTAGTGTTTTTAAAAACAAATAATTAGTGATTCCATAAAGATATAAGAATAAAAATACCTTAACACATGCATATAAACATGCGTATTCACATGCACAATATTTGCATGTAAAAGCTCTAAGGAGTAAAACTCAGTTTAAGTCACCAAGTATGGATACTCAAATCAACAACAGCACCCAAGTTATCCGAATTCGCAACAAAGACATATTCTTTGCCCTGTGAATGAAAAAAAAGGTGAACAGGTACTGTATTAGTGAAACATAGTGTTAATTCATGCACGTAAATCAAAGAAAACTGCATCTTAAAGGGCAAAACCTGTGATAATAATGCTTCAAGCTTGCCACTATTCACCAAAGAAGGGAACACATCGCCATGACCAGGGGGGTACCTGTACAAGCAAACTACATTCATGAGCTTGAAAACAGGAGAATCATGTCAGAATTATGTAAAATATTCACTGCATTTGCTGCATTTTTGGCATTTGATTACTTAACTAACTAATATGATCCTGAAATAAACAGTTAGGACAAATGCATGCAATCTTTACAACACTTCACTTGAGATTGACATATATGTAAACATCATATCTGAATCACAAAAGCAGAAAAGAAAAGGAAATAAGTTTATTTTATCCAAAATAAAGGAATTAAGCTAATGGTTCATGGAGAAGAGCAATAAATCAAAATTAATAAATATGAAAATGGAAAAGGAATACAAATACGAATACGAATGCAAATGCAAATGCAATTATGAATGCAAATACGATTATTAATATTGCAGTAAATCAATTATTTGCTATTTCAAATCAAGAGACCAATAACCCAAAAAAATTCTATCTTAGAAAACATATAACAACTACTTGAAAATGTAGATGTTTAACCACTAGACAAAGTCCAACCATTAAATTATCAATTTCGCATAGTGTTGAATCGTGTATAATACCATCCATCTTTTCCAGCATCTTTTATGCATGGAAGTGGCGTGAAATTGTCGATTGCTAAACGAGGGTACTGACTCTGTAAAAAGTAGAAGATAAATATCAAGAAATCAAATTATTTCAATTCAAAGAGAAGTACAGATTTTCTGGTGTAAAATAAACAGACCTGGTTAAATGTATGGATCTCAATGTTTGAGTTGGTATATTTTTCTACAATCTACCGTATAAAAAAAAATAGATCAGCATTTGACCTAAATTAAATGTGGAAAATCATTTTCTATAGGATATAACTGAAGCAGATATGTTTCACCTTCAATGTATCATCATGGGTATTGAAAGAGTTCATTAAAAGCAGGGGAACGCTGCATCCATACTTCTTGTTAAGAGTCTACAGACGATTAGATTTGTTAGTCGCTGTCAACAATGGAACAAGAATGATCAGAAGAACATCTTTGGTGGGTGTAATACCTCAATTTGGATCACAATTAAGTCCAGAAATGTCAAACCATTACGAACTTCAATGACAGACCTACATCACAGAAATATGAATTTTACCTATACATGAGTGAAGAAGAATATACAACAGCAGAAAAACATAATGTATTATAAAATAACAAGACTGCAAAAATATGCTTTGAGAAGTGAATGTATGATAGAACTTTAACCTTCTTTTATGATCAGACCTGAGAACACAAAGCACATAAGAACAGAGTGGGCCAAGCCTAAGGCAATGGAGCTAACAGCCTAACAAGTAGTTCAGGTGATTACTGAATTTCATAAGCACATATTTTAGACAATTGATCAGTCCCAAACTATTCTTGTATTTACACCTATATCCACTTGTCCCATAAATACCAACAGAAAAAAACACAAACACACGAGAACAAAGCTTTTATTTATTTACTCGTACCACCACCACTACTATTTTTAGTTTGCAAAATCGAAGGATAACAGATTCAATTAATCGAATTCCGAAGCTTCATAGAAATTACACAGATATTAAAACAGATAACGATAAGTTAATTAAATTCATCAGTAAAAAACTGAAAACCATATCATGCATTGCTTACATCTAACATCTCTATGCTGAAAAATTATGGCAGATAATTAAAGATATAAAACCAGTATAATGCTTACTTTGGACCAGTGCATCCCATTGTTGTCCCTAAGCCTCCATTAAGTTTTAACACCACGAGTTTGTCCAACAGCTTTTTAGTCACTGCAGGATCTGCATTAACCAAGATAGTTAATTTTATTCACAATTCTTTGACGAAAATTGATTTGTCAGGTTTATATATTTTTGATAATTGAACTTTAAAATGGGAGGGAGATAAGTACGACTAATATATGAAGATCACCTTCAGGTACAGGTGCTAAGGTATCGTAAGGCACGACCACCTCATCAGTCGGTGTCTGGATCTTACTCCATTCAACATGTTGAGCTTCACCACTTTGATTTTCCAAGAAAAAAAAAAATTTGTCATGACACATATCACAATCCAACTTCAATCAATCGGATAACAAAAGTGAACAACAACGGTAAACTTTTTGATATCCAAAATTCAGAAACAATAACACCAGATTCTTGATGAGCACAGTCCACTTATATCCATCTTCATCATTTCCAAGACACCAAAAAAAAAATGTAGTACTAATCGGACATTTGGATCATGAGATAGGAGTACTGATCCAACATTTTGGATCATGAGACACAAAAACACAGAACTAACATTTTATAAAACAAAAGGCAATGATCATCCCCTAATCCGTAACCACTAACATTAGGTGTCCAATTGATTTTCACTATACCTGAGATAGCGAGTAACGAGGTTGAGGAATCCAGTCTTCTCATTTTCACTGAAAATTGAAACAAAATTCTTCAATCTACTAATCCAGATCTACAATAGTTAAATAAATAAAACTCATCAAATAATTAAAAAAAAAAAAAACAAATAAACCTGATTTGATTGAGACCGGAAACAGAAGATTGAAGCTTGGAGATCTTCTCAGTATCAGCTGCACTTAAAGTAGCAGTAGCCATTTTTCAATCTAATCACTTTTTTTAATCAATCTGAGATTCTGAATTGAAGTTTTGAAGGAAGAGAGTGAAGCGAGGAGATGATAATACTGTGTGCGGTGTTTATATTAGGAAAAAGTGGGGAAAGGGTAATGTTGTAAATATGGAGAGTTTTAGAACAGGTGACACGTGGCGGTAGTAACGGAATTCTATGGAAATTTTTGGTATCCACAAAACGATCGGTCGATGAGAGAATATACAGGCGAATATGACTCTGTGGGTGGGATTCTGCTTAATTAATCAACTTATAAGAGATTATTGCATAATTACTTAAGATTGATTGAAAAGAAAGTTCAAACTCTTTTTACTTCTATTGCATTTATATTGTACACGTACGCCCCATTAATTACCTTTCAAATGATGGAATGTTATTTTATTAATAAGCATTGATGTAGTGTGATCTCAATAATTTAATTAAAAAACTATAATAGTAAATAAAATTAGAGTTTTGTTATTTGAACATCGAGGTGTCAACCGCGATGTACACTCCCCTCAAAATAGGAGGGTCAACATCCAATAAAAAAATCGTGAACCCCCTATTACGAAAGGATTCGTACACTGCAGACATAGAAAAATTCATAAAAATATCATATTTCAATTCCATTTTTGTTATTTGAGATTGAATTATATTTAAGTTCATGTCGAAGAGACCACGAAGGATCTTTATAAAGAGACAAAATTGAATTGAATCTTAAAAAAAGAAAAAGAAAAAGAAAAAATGGTGATCAAATAGAATATTTGCATACTTTTTCACTTTATCAATTTATATTCCCAGAACATATTTTTGTATTAAGCATTTGATTGATGGAGATTAAAATTAAATTTTTAATACATTTTGATGAATTTTGAAAAAATGTGTAATTGAAAAATTATGAATCGCATAAAATATATTTTTAAAATTATTTATTGATTTTAACGTATAGCATATGAATCACTATTGTGACGGACGCAATATGCACTAAATATTTCGTGTCGCTGTCAGTTGATAGAGACATGAGCGACCAATATTAATCTAGACTTTCTTGGGCAAACTGATTTTTTTTTTTAAATAAAAAATAAAAGCAAGGAATTCTAAACATAGAAAAGGGTAAAAATGTCAAACGCTCATGTCCTTAAAAGTTAATGAAATGTGTAGTTACAAAGTTGTGAGTTCCATGATACGTGTAGTTAAAATTAATTGTTGACCTTAATTTGAAATTTTAATTAAATTTTAAACCATACCAAACATGAGCTTAATTAGGACTTGTATCTTTGTTATTTGATGAATAAATTTGATTTTTGAGTTAGATCTCAAGTGAGACCTCATTATCTGACGTATGATACACACGTTATAATAGGCAAGGCTCGTAGACTGTCACTCAATCCATTCCCAAGCCACTAAGAAATATATCTCCTACATGTCAAATCATTTTATACCTTCTAATATCTTAATCTTGTTAGTTACGAGCAAAATTACATAACACTAAGGTCCTGTTTGAGAGAAATTTTAATCAAGATTTTAATTAAAATTCTAGCCGTTAATTATCAAATCAACCATCATTTTTTACTTTCCCTCTCACGGGTGGGGCCCACAAGTCGACTATAACGGCTATAATTTTGATTAAAATCCCACAAAAATTGCTCCCAAACACGTTCTAAGAGTTTGTTTGAGTTTTATTTTTAGAGAAAAATGTATTTTTAAATAGTGATTTTTTAAAAATATGGAATTAAATTTTTTTAAAAAAATGGTTTACGTGTAAAATTATTTTATTGGAGAATGTGTAATTGAAAATGAATTCTTAAAAGAATTAGGATCAAACATAGGCTATATATCAACTTAGATCGACTTTGCCAATGATTCTACAGAAGTCCAAAACTCGAGGTTCATAAGTTTTATCATATCTAAGTTAAAGAATATGATGAACTAGCTTATCCTGCTGTAATTTTGCACTTAGCATACAATGTGATGAGAAAAATTGTTGGTAATTTGTGTAGTGAAAGAGTTGTTTATAATTGACAAAATTAATTATTAAGTTGAATTCGTATGAACGTAATTAAACTCAATATATATGATAGAAAATGAAAGGAAAGGAAGGGAAGGGGAATGAAATATGATAAAAAATTCGAAGCAAGTGATGAAACACTTTCTCCTCAAAACAAAATTGTCTCGAATGGTGCTAACGGATTATGGCACTTGTCTCCCAAAATACAACAGATAAAATTTGTGGTAAAAGTACTTCAAATCACAAGCAACAGCAAAATCAAACAATTTCCTTATCTCTACAAGAAAATATTTTTTTTGAATGAATTTTGGAGAGTTTTTGCAATGATGCAAGACTAGACTCAATGCCAATAATATATGATTCATAATGGACGTTCAAAGGGTTTTATTTATAGAAGATGAGAAGTTGTGAGTAAAGAGGCACGCCATAAATTCAATAACCATCAGAAGGGTTGCAACCCTACCTGTCGCTCGCCTGTAACTGGCGCGCTACTCAAATGTCAAAAGCAGAAGCTCTATCACTCGCCAGCGCTGGGCTGTCGCTCAAGTGACAGTCATATGTGGTGAAAAATCGATTTTTTTCCTTCCAACTTTGGACTACAATTTCTCATTCATTCGAAATTGATTTTGAGATTTCAAATATATTACCACGATTTACTTGATAAGTAGAATAAGTTAGTCTATTTATTTTTATAATTTGATTATCGGATCAAGTTCAAATATTTGGTCAAAGTGGTTTTCAAGTTTATACTTAATCAAATTTTTTCAATCTTTAAACCAAATTCCAAAAATCCTCTACATGAATGAAAATTCAAATATGTTCATGTTATACGAAAATATGATGCATCGTAAAGAGAGAGCAGAAAAACACTGCATTAGGTAGGGTGGCTTCTAGCTTTGAATCATTTTTAGTAAAATACTATCGGATTTACTTGGATAATTGGTGAACGTGATATCTTGAACCATTCAGCCTTTGGTGTAAGCCAAGACAACAGTATTCACATAATGACTTTCCTAAACCTTCATGGTTCTCATGATTGTGTCNTCTTTTCGATAGACAACGTACTTGATCTCTTGGTACACCTTTCGTAAGTGGATCCTCGATATTCTCTTTTAATTTTACATAATCTATGTAGATAATACCATTTGAGATTAGTTGCTTAATAATATTGCGTCTATGACGTATATGTCTAAAGTTACAATTATACATTCCGTTTTGCACCTTTCCAATAGCCGATTAACTATCACAATGTATGCCTATTTCAGGTACCGGCTTAGGCCAATATAGAATATCTTCCAAGAAGTTACGAAGTCGTTCTGCTTCTTCTCCAACTTTGTCCAAAGCAATAAACTTTGATTTTGTCGTTGATCGAACTATACCTGTTTGTTTTGTCGACTTCATGACACAGCAGCTCCACCAATGGTAAACACATAAACCACTAGTAGATTTGAAATCCTTCATGTCGGGTATCCAATTCGCATCACTCTATCCTTCCAATACCACGGAATATTTCGTGAAGTGTAATCCATAGGTATACTTCAAATACCTAAGAACCCTTATCAAAACTTTCCAATGATCATTGTTTGGATTACTTGTAAATCTTCCAAGTTTATTCATAGCAAATGCTATATCCAATCAAGTGCAGTTTGTAATATACATTAGACTACCTATAACATATAAATATTTTAGTTGTGACACACATTCACACGTATTTTTGATTAAGTGTAATTTGTGTCAATAGGGATTTTCGCAGGACTTTCTTCAAGTGCCTTATACATTTTAAGTACACCCTCAATGTAGTGAGATTAAAAAAGTATAATTTCTTTCGCTGTTTCAGAGATCTTAATCCCTAATATTATATCGGTCATACTCAAGTCTTTCATATCAAAATGTTTCGTTAACATTCTCTTGGTGTTTAGTATTAACATGTGGTTTACATACATAAATACAATCACATAGGTTTTCTGTGTATGTTTTATGTATATATACTTGTCACACTCATTTATCTTAAATTCATTAGATAACATCGTTTTGTCAAACATTTGTTATCATTGTTTAGGAGCTTGTTTTAATATATACAAGGATTTAACGAGTTTGCAAATCTTTGTTTGTGATTACGAGAGATGAAACCCTTCGATTTGTTCTATGTATATCTCATCTTCAAACTCAACATTTAGAAATGCCGTTGCTTCATCCATTTGATGAATCTCAAGGTTATGTAATGCCACCATTGCAATTAACAACCTTATCAAAGTGATTCAAATTAGGGTGAGCAGGTATCAAAGAAGTCAAGTCATTCCTTTTGTCTATATCCCTATAACCAATCTAGCATTATATTTGTCAATGGACCCGTCTGATTATTTTTAAAAAAAATCAATTTACGTCCTAAAGGCTTATTTCTGGGAGGTAAATCAACCAACTACCAATTATGGTTTTGCATTATATAATATATCTCATTATAGATAACTTCTTTCCAATGCAGTGCTTCCGGTGTAGACATTGTTTCATCGAAAGTATTTGGATCATTTTCTACCTGTATGTTAGAAAATCCGGGTCAAACAAAGTAGATGTTCTAACCCTTTTACTACGCCTTGATTCTTTCTCATTTTAAGTTCCATTTGTAGTTTCATAAGTACTTTTATTTGAAATTGCATTTTCCTTGTCTTTACATGAAAAACATTCACGAATAATGCTGTATTTCTCGATTCAATTCTGATTCCTTCATGTGCATCTTGAATTTCAAATTTATATAAAAGGAAATGATATGTACTACTATTATTGGTTATCCAATAAATAAGCAAAACATCATCTTATGACCGATTTTCACTTGTTTAGGTTTAGGTATTTCAACATTAGTCAAATACCCCCACACTTTCAAGTGTTGGTAGGACGGAGGATGACATTTCCATAGTTCATATGTAGTTTCTTCCATTTTTTAAGAGGTATCTTGTTAAAAATGTTATTTGCTGAAAGAATAGCTTT